CACCCTCAAAAAATAAGAGATCAAGGTAATTCGTAGTTCTGGGACAATATTCATACCATCCATTACTTTTCTCACTTGTCGAAGCCACCTCTTTGCATCAAGTGGCTCTGTACTTCCCTGGAAGGTAGGGGATGTTGTCATAGAAATTCCTTGAGTATCATCATTCTTTGCGTTTTAGCCACATTTGCTTGTGCCTGAACTGTTGGTTGTATTACCATAGTATGATTGTTATTTTCTACCTATTGGCATGCGAAAGTGGTTAGTTCTCTCAGACAATGGTAAATACCACTTATAGTGTCTTGTGGTGCTGGAGGGGACTGGTCATTGATGGACATCTCTGGTTGGTCTTGAGATGTGTTTCCCTCCATCATATAATACATAGTTTATGATATTATGACTACATAAAAAAAACTATAACCATATCCAAAGGTTAAGAAAACAACTCTAATTTTACATAATTAGTAACTAAGATACATTTCGTTTCTTATCCTAGATGCTATTCACATGAAAAACAAAAGTCTAGGACAATCACCTCTAAGTTGTGTAGTGATACATATATTCCTATCATTCTAAGAGTTACTACTATTTACAGGCAAAAATTCTTAGAATAGTAAAACCAACTGTACAATTATGGACCAAGAAGTTTTATGTCCCTCCCTTCTGGAGACACATTAGTTCGCAGAACCCGTAAAATCTGCATGATGGTTTGCTTTAGGTGGTGCGGCTACAGGGGCTATGTTGGAGTTGTGAGGTTGTGGATCGTGAGGTTGTGGGTTATATTCTTCATTATTGTCCAGATTAGGAGATTCTATTGGTTGTCCCTCATGCGCCTCCGCAGGTGGCCACTGAATGTCTTTGTATTGGCAATCCATTCAGAATTTCCTGGTACAGGTTGGGATTCCTTTCAATACTTAGTGCTTGGCTGAGCACCCTTAGCTACGAGGTCAGTTTGTAATGTACTAACTTTTTCTGTTCAGAGATCGACATGAATGACCAATTTTGGGACACATCTTCAATTTCGTGGACTATCAAATTGTAGGGCTCTATATTAACTCTAAGAGTTTGGTATTCACTAGCCGCCTCAGAGCCCATGTTACTGTGAGCCATGTAAAGATCATCCCAAGATGTCATACCTATAGTCATAAAAAGTTAGTTCTGTTGATAAAAAAAAAATTTATATGTCCGTAAAACATGTTCAATATTAGTACATTAATCCCATTATTTAGTCTATATAAATAATTCTCATGTAAGATCTAATCCTAGGCTCTGATACCACTCTGTCACACCTCGATTTTTTTTTTTTTTTTTAAAATATCCAGGTGTGAGTAAGGAATAAAATTACACCGAACTTACAATAATCTTCCTTATATTATTTTATTTTACGTACGAGTACATAATCCTCACAAGATCATTTCAAATATTCTTGATACAACATAAAGAGAAATAAGAATAGCAGACTCTATCCTTTCAGCCTATCCTCCAGCTTGACTTCATATATCTGAAAAATGTTAAATAGGGATGAGCTCACTAGCTCAGTAGGATAACGTTTATCAATGACTACCAAGGTTTTAAAATAATACATAATATAACTAAACCGCGAATAAATGTAGGAATAGGGCAAAATAATGAATCAAATAAATAAATAAATTTCAGCACATATTGATCATATAAATCCGTCAATTTTCTAATCCATACATGAACCGCCTCCGAAAAAACTTTGGGGTCTTGCACCCTAGGAAATTCAATGCCCTTCTTACTTTTCTAGAAACACCAATACCAAATATCATGTGGTGCCACATAGGCTACAACAACAACTGATATTACTAACCGGTGAACCCAAGGAGTAGTAGGAATCTTGTGAATCCTCGCAAGGGTCACGCATCTACTAACTCTCTGCCCTCAATTATGTGCATTCATAGTAATTTCATCAAAATCACAAAATAAAGTCATATCGTAGTCAGACCCCATAACAAATTAAACATTAAATATTAATAATGAAATAAACATTTATTATACAACATGATTTCATGAAATAATTAGGGTCTCGATAAAAATACAATATGTGCATGATAACGATTTATTTATAAAATTCCAGTTTGACCCCATGGTTATAACAATATAATATTACATTATATAATTAAAATATAGATTTGATATGCAACCCCAAATATGAATAAAATACATCAATAATAGTAAAAGATAAAAGAAACCCTACCTCCTTCTTGACTTCTATTTGATACCGTGTACTGTGACAAAATAACCAGAATAATATTTTAGAATAACAATAGGTAATAAGGGCTTAGTTAACCTAAAATAATTTTTGGAATAATTAACGAAAGATAATGATACTTAAATTTGATCCAAAAATATTTAATGAAGATCAACTTTAAGTGACTCGAACATATAAAATTTACTAAATAATAACTAAAAAATCTTACCCAAAATTGTGATCGTAATTACAAACTCTTAGGTCAACAAAATTTTTGACTCATTTTTCCTCTTTCCTCTCTTTCTCCCTTCCTTTCTTCCACCATTTCTCTCTTTTTCCTTGTGCCGTTCAATGCATTGAGCTTGACTATTTATAACCAAGATTTACTTGGGCTCCAAGGATTCTCGTGGACAGCCGTCCATTCCTTAACCATGTTCTCTTTTTTTTTTTTTTTGACAAATACATATATATATATGTGTGTGCGTGTGTGTGTGTGTGTGCGTGTGTGTGTGTGTGTGTATGTATGTATAGATATTTATATTTATTATATGTTACGAAATTTGACCTATATTATAGTTATTTGACTCATTTTCACGCGAAAAGTCTATATTTGAGATCCATTTGTTCCTTAAATTTTTTTTTTTATTATTTATTTATTTATTTTTATTATTATTATAATATAAATCCATAATTGATGACCTAATTAATGTGTCAATAATTAATTTATATACGGGTCGTCACATTAAAGTTCTAAAAATTATGATTGGCGTGTGTGAACATGGGATGATTGCCTCATATATTTATACTCAAAGGTGGGATGGTATTCATGTCATGATTCCCTAATTTGTTAACATGTTGTTAGGAAAATATTTAATCGTTAGACACTATTTTTTTAACTGTCACGTTGCCTTTTAGAACATAATAATGTGACCTTGATATACTTCTCCAAACTTGGACATGTTGTGATCTTTTGCCCATGTAAAAGTTCATACTGTGAGGTCATACTTGGGATGGTTTCTTATTCTTTTGGTTCATTCTTTCAGTCAGTTCATGAGTAAAGGAGTTCAATTTAAAGACCGAATTTAAGCTAAAAATACTAAACTTTCCTTATGTGATGATATGGACGACTTGTCATCCTTGCTTGAGGATCCAGACATCATTTTTTTTAGCCCAATTGGAAATGATCAAAATATTTAGGAAGGAAAGGGATTTTTCTTAATTGCTGGGGATGGAATGTTTCAGATGGGGGTTTAACTGTTTAAGGCTCCAACTCCAAAATGGAGAGAGAGAGAGAGACAGAGACAGAGACAGAGAGAACCAATCAATATAAACCAAAGGTGATAAGGGAATGCCACTCTTTTGAGGAAGAGCTCACAGATGTCCCCTCCGCCAAAAAGGCAATTTGTTTCTTCATGCTCTTCCGGAGAATTTTGAGGTCTCAACTAAAATGGCTGTGTGTGTGATAGAGAGAGAGAGAGAGAGATGGCTGCACTATGAGTTGTCAAAAAAGTAAGGAGATTTTTTTATGGTCAACTTAAATTATATTTTAGAACTTTAAAATTTATGATCTTGATGTCATTTTATCCCTTCAATAATTGATTTTTTATATTGTCTATTTAATTATTGAGTTGTTTTTAATAATATTTCAAAATTAATCCCATATTTCATGCCTGCTTTAAGCACATAAAAGTTGACACTTATTTCGTTCATGACCTTGGTGTTGGGGGCAAATTGTTCAATCGACTTGTTCCTAGCACCAATTAAGTAGTGGACATTTTCACTAAAATGTTACTTGAACTAACCTTCCATCATTTTTGTGTCAAATTGTTATCTCTTGCCTATCTTTAGCTTATATAAACTTAAAAAGAAAGAGCAATTAATTATATGTTTCTCCTTCCTGATAGACATCTCATATGGGTTTTGATGAAAAATTTATTTGAGAAATTTGGAGGCCGGTCCCCCTAAATAAAGTTGTTTGGACTTAGTCCGCCAAAGAAACTTATTTATTATGAAGTCCGTTTTTGTCAATTTTACCAGACTATCATTTTCCTTTAAAAGTGAAATAAAACTAAAAATTAAAAATTTCTAAATCTTAGGAGTTTGACTGACTCTAAATTTTTTTTCTCTCATATTTATCTATATTCATGTATAAATTAGGAATATATATATATATATATATATATAAATAAAATAAAAAATAAAAAATAGTAATATTCAAAAATAAACAAAAGTTATTATTTAGACACAAAAAATAATACCATTTAAACACAAAAGAAAAATAACATTTAAATATAAAAAAAAATAGTAACATGTTCAACAAAAATAATAACATGCTTAACAAAAACAATAACATGTTTAACAATAATTATCTCTCTCAAATTCAAACACAAAAATAGTATCACTCAAACACAAAAATAGTAATATTCAAAAATAAAAAAAATAGTAATATTGAACATTAATATTTAAAAAATAATAGTAGTAACATATTCAGCAAAAACAGTAACATGTTAATAATAATAGTAACATGAATAGTAACATAGTCAATAAAAATAGTAACACAAACAGTAACATAGAAAAAAAAAAGTACTATAAAACATTCAATTTAATAAATTAATATAAATAGTAACATGTAACATTAATGATTATAATTATTAAGTCTAATTTCATGTATTATTGATAAGAGGGCAATAATTAAGGGGTCAAAGTGTAACGTTACCTAACAAATTGAGAACTCTTCCCCCTCTTACTTCAGCTCTAATCTAAATAAAGCGTTCAAAAAGGCAATGAACCTAAACCCCCCTTTCTGATATCGTTTCCCACCCTCCTCCCATGCTGCAGCATTGCTCTTTCTGCTTTGTAGTCTCCTGCAACACTCACAGGTGTGTATCTATCTCTTTTATATCTAACCCACCCAGGTAGCATTTTCTCTCTCTTGTTCTGTTCCACTCCTGTTTGCGGGGTTTTTTTTTGGCTGTTATCTGGGTTTCAGCCAAGACACTGTGATTATGATTCTGACTCCTTTTAATGATGTGCCTTGTTATTGTATTATGTGTACATTGTTGTTGAATTTTTTTTTTCTTTCTAAATTTGTGTTACTGGTACACAGATTCAAATGTCACTCGGCTTAATTTGTTCTAATTATTTCTGGGTTGTTGGGAGAATTTTTGGACTTCAGTTTGACACATAGGGAGTTGGGTTTCTCTATTTTGTGGCATCAATCGAGTTACTTTTAACTTCTGAGATTTGGGCTTTTTGGTAATGGCAACGGGTATATCACCGTCTCTTACGCCTTCCAATACTCGAACCCCAATGGGAGTACTGACAGTTCTCGGAGGGAGAGTTTCGATGGAAAATAATCCCTTGGTTAGAGTAGGCTTACTGAAGTTGTTGGATGAAAAGAATGGTTTTCCAGGTGTTAGCCAAAAGGTTGCTTCAAATTGGTCTCATGTTAAATGTTCTGCTATCTCTCTGAGTGTCAACAACTATCCTAGTAAAGATCCGTTTATGAATTTACACCCTGAAATTTCAATGCTTAGAGGCGGTGAGGGGAACAACTCAGTTACTAATCCGAGACAGGATAGTTCAAGTGGGAGTATCACAGAGAGCTTAAGAGGTTCGTCGAGTTCAAGTAATTACAATGAGGCTAAGATCAAAGTTATTGGTGTTGGAGGTGGTGGGTCAAATGCAGTTAATCGTATGATAGAGAGTTCTATGAAGGGTGTGGAATTCTGGATTGTTAATACTGATGTTCAAGCCATGAAAATGTCGCCTGTGTTTTCCGAGCAGCGACTACAGATTGGTCAAGAGCTTACCAGAGGACTTGGTGCTGGTGGGAACCCAGATATTGGCATGAATGCCGCGAAAGAAAGCAAAGAAGTCATAGAAGGCGCAGTTTATGGTGCAGACATGGTCTTTGTGACTGTAAGTCCAAATATTAGTTTCCAGCATATATTGGTATTTATTGTCATTCTAGAATCCCCTTCCCCACCTTAAAGGCTTTTTGTTTAAAAAACCATGGTGATTGATGATTCAGTCTTCATATTCTAAGCATTGTCAATAAAGAGGATCAACCACTAAAGTGCTAAAGATCACTAGTTATATGCTAAAAATTGCAGATTAATGGTAAAGTTTTCGAGTGAGCGAGTTTCTTCTTATGCCCAAAGGCAACCAACCAATTAAAACAGTCCTATTTGGTTCTGACTTTGATGATAAATTGTAGTTTTGCAAGTCTGTCTTTGATCTAGTGACTATAACTATAAGCTTAATGTTTTCATTACTTTCAAAAGTCCTTTATTCTTGATCACATACTATGAAATTAATTCAGTTGAGATGCGTGGTGTTACTTATTTTTGTTGTAGGTAGAATAGGTGAACACATGGAGAGAGTCATTGGGATTATACTTAATTTGTGGAATATCATACTAGCTGGCAAGATGCTAAGTGTAGATGGACTAATGCTTAGGTGATGAAAAGTAACCAGCATTTTGTGTAAGTTTGAGGTACAATTATAGGGAAACTTGAAAACCTTGTCCAGAATGCACTTGCATTACTATGAGAATCATTCATTTACAATCATAGGATCCAAATGTAGCACCATTAACAAATATGTCTTGTAAACAAGGCTTACGAACACATAATGGGTGCTCAATCGGTCAATGTCTAAACAGAATCACGATTTAGTGCAATAAAATACTAGCATTAGCTGACAACTTTGAGTCTTCAAAGAGATATACTTGATAAAAAATAAGATTAACATGCTAACATTTTGTTTGTGTCCATTTTTTGCATCATTTTCTTATTGGGGGCCTTAATTGATATGTGAAGGCCGGAATGGGTGGAGGAACGGGCACCGGTGGGGCTCCTGTTATTGCTGGGGTTGCTAAGTCGATGGGTATCTTGACTGTTGGTATTGTCACTACCCCTTTCTCTTTTGAGGGGAGACGGAGAGCAGTTCAAGCCCAAGAAGGAATTGCAGCTCTGAGAGAAAATGTTGACACACTAATTGTCATTCCAAATGACAAGTTATTGACTGCAGTTTCCCCATCTACACCAGTAACAGAAGCATTTAACCTGGCTGACGATATTCTTCGACAGGGTGTTCGTGGTATTTCTGACATAATTACGGTATGTGTGCCAAATAAGTTATCATGAGAACTTCAACCCCCATCTGTGGTTATTTATTGTATTTCGTTTACTTGTAAATGCTATAAGAAAGATTGCTCAGTAATCTTCTTAATGCATTTAATATAGGACTTAATGCGAACGTTTACAACATCTATCCATTTCGTTAAGGATGCAAATGAACCAACCCAAGTTCAGCCCTAGATCATTTGGGTTCAACTCATTCGTCCAAAAGAGTGTCTAGCATCGTCTCACCATTGTGACGAGTTTAAAACATTTTTTCAAGATTGAATCTTTAAGTATTTTTCCAAAATGGGGCTCGACTCGGATTGGCTCGTTTGATTAAATAAACACAAGCTCAAGCTTGTGTTCGAGCTTATACTCTTGTTCAAACTCTAGTTGAAGATCAAGCTTGGCTCATTTATACATTCATTACATCTTATAGTATGTAATATTATATGTTAAAAAATGAAGAGGATAAGCTCATAAAGTTTATGTATAGCGGAATAACCAGTTTAGAACCTTGAGATAGGGGCACTCGCGTGCACACACATTTTTAGGCTTCAGTGTATATACAATAATATGTTAGATGAGGATGCCTACATGCCTTGACTGCTTTTATAAAAGCATGTGCAACTTTTTAGGTTTATTTTGTTTTATATTGATCAATGATGGTCACCCAAATTACAGATCCCGGGGTTGGTGAACGTTGATTTTGCTGATGTGCGAGCTATTATGGCCAATGCAGGTTCTTCATTAATGGGAATAGGAACTGCAACAGGTACACTCTCAGATGCTATTTGGTTAATGTTATAATGATATTCAGACATGCCATTCATGCTCATGCAAGTCATGTTGGATGCTCACTCATGCTTTTGGAAATCCTTCTCCCAAAGTTTTGTCCTTTGTGCTATATGGTTGCTGAAAGTTGTGTTCTTCATTAGATTTAAATAAAAAGTTAAGATCCTTTTTAAGAGCATGTAGAATACAGGACACTACCTGAGACATATGTAGTATACAAGTGCATCACCAGGCTGGACCTCCTAACTTTAACTCCAAAGTCCACAATTCAAGTCACCTGAGAATTTGACCATGAATTAAAAAAAACTCCTGACCTTTCAATTGAGGAAGAATATCTCAAACTGTGCTTCATTCTGTTCACTAGTAATTCTGCCTGATCAAATCTGCGACTACTTCGCTCTTCTCAAATTAACCAAGGAATCAAGTAGCTTTTGTCCGTGTTGCCCACTCATTGAGTGACAAGTAACGCGGCTGTGCATGGCCCAAGATTAGGGTATTCTCAGCAATTCAAGTGCAACTGATACTAACCATTCAATTTTTTATGCCTCACTTTATAGTTGGTCACATTGGGCTCTTTTCCTACAATTGGCTCTTTGGCATCTTTTGAAGGGATTTGGAACTTTACTAGCCTTTAGCTATGTGTTCACTTATTACCAATACTTAGTTTTAGAGTCATGTAAGATCATTAATCAATTAAGCTAATTAAACTCCTAAGAATGAAGGTGAATGGTTGACGTGTACTTAATTTTTGAATATTTACAAATAACACATTGTCCAAGTACATTAGAGCAAAAGAGAATTGGTTCAAGTATAAAGCACTAAGACTTATAACCATCAAGTTCTCTATTCCCTAATATTTCTCATAGTAATACACTCAACTTTGAATTAATGATGGATGCATTATAAATCAAATCAAAGTGTGATTACCATGATAAACAATGAAAAACAAACAAAAGAAAATGTTTGTCTTTTCTTTTCCAATGTTTTTTTATTTTTCTTAATAACATAAAACAGAAAAATATACATAAACATGCACTTAATAAGGAAAAATAAAACAATTACTTTAAATCCTAAAATGAATGTTTAACTAGACATCAAAAATGTTTTTGGATTTCTAACTTTCAAATGTTTTAGAGTTTTTACTTTTTTCATTAGCTTTTCAACATTTGATGAAAGAGGAAAAATCTATATATCCAGAGTGCATACTAATCTGGTAGGAATCAATTTAATTGCACCACTTGCATACCATGGTTTGTGTGGTTCTCCAATGAAATCATACCAATTGTGGTTCGATTACCGGAAGAAACCTTTTCATCGTGCTTCTTGACACCGAAATGTTGTTGCACTGTTGTCATCTAAATTCTAGCATAAGTTATGTTGGGGTTTTGTTATTGTACAGGTAAAACCCGGGCAAGAGATGCTGCATTAAATGCCATTCAATCACCTTTATTGGATATTGGTATAGAGAGGGCTACTGGAATTGTGTGGAATATAACTGGTGGGAGTGATCTAACATTATTGGAGGTACCCCCCCCCCCCCTTTTCTGGTGTTACTTGTGGTTTTATTTACAAATATATGTTTGCGTTAGCATTTTTATAATGGTAAGGGAACAGAGAGACTAGTGAAAGGGCTTCACCTTCTTTTCACAAGAAAATTGAGGTACTACCAGTTTATTGCACGTTATGGATGTACTGGACCGTCAGTATTAAACATTGCCAGAAAGACCACACTGATATGCTGAGTCTGTGATGTTGTTGGTAGCAATGCTAATCTGTTTTCTGTGTCCACATTTTTAGTTCTATCTAAGATTCTAAATTCATATTCCTGTGTCTCAGTTTGCTTTGCCATGACTTGGCTAGTGATGTCCATTTTGATGGTTTAGGTTCTAATCATTGAGTCAGACATTTGAATATAAATTTTGAAGCTAATCAGACATTTTTATTTGAAGTAAACTCTTTATCAGCCTGACAATTACTAAGGATAAGTTGACAGTTGGACTTTTCAGTTTTCTAATAAGCAGAGTTATAAGTGTTATGGCTTATCTTATTCTTGATATCTCTTCTGATACCCGTACTCGCATATTCAATTTTCATAGGTAAATGCTGCAGCAGAGGTCATATATGACCTTGTGGATCCAAATGCCAACTTAATATTTGGAGCTGTCGTAGATCCCTCACTAAGTGGTCAAGTAAGTTCTTAATTACACTCATGAACATGATAAACTTGACTTATCAATGAATAATTGTAAAGGTGTAATCTGCAATTATCAGTTTCCACCATTTTGATTGTCCCATGAGAAACCTGTCAAATAATTAAAATATAATTTCATTAGTGATGATCATAGATGAAAGGGAGGGGTTTCTAGTGTGGGCAATTGTCCCCACCTTATTCTTGTGTTACATGCAATAACTATCCTATAAATGTTCCCATTGAAACAGGATAGTCAATAGGGAAGTTAATAAGTAATTATACTCCTGAAAAAACCTAAACATCTTCCTATACTTGTTTTCAAATTTGATTTGAAATTTCCTAATTTGCATTTAATCTCTACAATACCCAATTTAAAGTTTGAAGCAATTGGCCAGGAAAAGAGGAAAAAATATGGAAACAAGGGAAAAACTACAAAAGCGATTGGTGGGGTCAAGGCAAAACTAAGGCTATAGTTTACAGGGCAAAGTGTACGACGTAATGACAAAATCAGCTCATTATATTTAGTCGCAATCCAATGTTATTGGGCTCAAGCATAGTGCGGGTGCTCCCTTTTCCATCTCCTCTCTCCCATCCCATTCTCAACATGCTTGAGATTCTGGTTTACTTGGTTCAGAAAGAGCTCTGGAGGAGGCAATGTAAAGTATTAAATAACTTAAACAAAAGTATTAGAGGCTAGTTTCATTACTCTCCAAATTGAAGACTGACTTTATCTAGGGAGCACAGATATTATTCTGAGGGGGTGCCGTGGGGGTAGAAGTGTCCTGAATAATAAACTCAATCGGCCATTGTGGTTAAATTTTTTTTTAAAGAAAAAATGAGTACTAATTATTAAGAGGGGTGTGGTTTCTTTTTTGTGTTTTTGTTGTGTAACTTATATATTGTAAATGGTAATAGATGTAATAATGTTTGCTGAAAATGGAGGATATTTATTTTGATCTATTTTAAAATTAATAATTACTAGGTGTCATTATTAATATTGTTATAAAATATGTTTTATTTTTAATATATTATAATTTTATTATTATCTAAAAAATATATTATATTATTTTAATAGTCGTATTCTTACCGTACCCTTGTCCGTATTCGTGCTTCCTGAGACTTTATTAACCTGGACATTCCTCTCCTAAGAGCTCACACTGCCTCTACATGGTTCCAGTGAAACATTTGCCACTATTAGTACTTTGCTACACATGTCAGATTTGGAGATTATCAACAGGTGTACTACAAAACTGGTGTATTTAGATTAGGGGTGGAACTTGGGCGGGTTGGATAGTCAACCCTAGTTATATAATTTTCAACCCTAACCCTAACCCTAACATTAACCCTACCTCAGGTTGAGGGACTCGACCCAAGCACTACTTGAGTTTAATTCGGACGGGCTTGGGTTGAATTCGGGTTAATGATTTTAGGTTGATTTCGAGTTACTTTATGGGTTCAATTCGGATTGAGTTCGGATTGAGCCAAAAATAGGCTTGTTGTTCTAAACCTGATACATATATTACATAGTATTCACCTAAATTAATAACTAACAATTTCAATCGAGTTTTTAACATAAAAATCATAAATATTAAGAACTCAATGTTTGAGATAATGCAACCACAACTATACAAAACACAAATAAACACAACCAGAATCCTGGCACAAACATGGAGTTCACTAGGATAAATTTGTATATATATAGTATTAATTCGGGTTGAACCCGTATTAAATCGGGTTGAGCCCGATTTTAATATTCGAATTTGAACAATTTTGGTGCACTTTTGAAGAAGTTACGTAAACAAGGAACATGGGGGATTTAATGAATATAGCCCAACATGTTTAATGTGAAAACTATAGATATGTATATATATATATATATCAAATAAGTGGTGGCCCATTACTTTATGGATATTACAATAATTTGGAAAGGAGTTAGGGAAAGGGCCTCGGCATCGGTATAGTCACGGGCAACCACCTATGATGGTCCAATTGGTGTCGATCCGTCAGGCAATGTTGGATTAAGCGTGTAGGTGGGAAGTTAAAGAGGTTAACACACGTGTCTATGTCAAGGGTAATCGAAGAGGGCGAGTAGGATAAGTAGATGGAATGGAAGGAACTCGAGCAGTTTGTTAACGAAGGGACGAACCAATTGGGTAGAGGGTAGGTGAAAAATGCTCTCACCAGCCAAAAAATTATCCATCTGCAGTAGGCAAGTAATGTGAGTATTTATAGCATAGTGCTCGGGCTGTCCAAAGGGCTGCCCACCGCGACCCCCTACCACTCGCGCTAACCCACAATTGTCTCGACCATAACGATACCAGTGGCTGTTAATGGCGATTCATGCGTCCCAACATTAACTAGGCAGATGTGATGTTTCCCCAAACGCAACTTGGACTTGGCCCCGAGGAAGTTGTGACAGTCGAGGTGAGAGAGGGCTCCCAAGGTCCATGATCGCAACTGGTTACCGTCGGACCGTGACCTTGAGAGGACCATGCCCGCGATACCCCCACGCGCTCTTACCCGGGGTCTTTCTTTCCCTCTTTAGACCCTTCCTTGAGACCTTTTTCGAGGTGCTCAATAGAGGAAACTCATATAGTTTTGGTCCTTCAGCCACGAATCCACATGTCCCATCATCCCATATGCTGATCCAGGTCAATAACCCCAGTTACCTTAGAAGTCTCTCCGGATCCCAGTTAAGCACATCCCAGTGGGCAATTAGTCATACACTGAGAGGCCTGCTTGAGTAGACTAAATCTTTGAGACCCTGTCCCAGGCCGAGGTTGACAATTGTGCTCATTCGCCCTTATTGCTTGATTCTCCCTTGAGGAGGGCCATACTCTCTTGTCCCTAGGTGGGGACACCTCTTAGTCTAGTAGGCCGGTCGAGTAGGATACCATTCCCGCAGCGGGGAAGGCGAGTCTTTCGTGGTTGCCCCCACACTTCTGTGATACCATTCCCGCAAAAGGGCATTGCACCTAGGGGCGTCGCACTTGTCACCGTTGTCTATACCAGTCCAGCTGAACTTTGTCGGGCCCCCATTTTCATGTCAATTGATAATTGTTGCCACTTGTCCTGTTATGGTGGAAACACGTGTCATGAATTTTTTTGAGTACTACATTTGCCCCCTGCGCGCGCCAGGTCGCAGGAAGCGTCTTGCGCTAGGTCTCAGGAAGCGTCTTGCACGTGCACACCATTTTCTGTCCGCACTTGTCGTTTGACTGTAACTATCTGACCATGGTGCTGATGACTAAAATTTTTGTAAAATTGGCCCAAGTCTTCCGCCGTCATTTCTCTATTGCCAAAAACATTATCGTGGTTAGTTGTCCCTGCATGCGTGGACCATTTTTTGATGGACTTTGCATGCATAATGGTCGCGAGGACTTGTGTATTTTTTGAGGTGTATCTCTGTATCCTTGTATCATTGTGGATAGAAAACCTTGACTACCATTGAGCGGTGAAAGCCGCTAATAAAATAGCCCAGTATTTTCCTTGAAAACCTTTACTACTATTGAGTCCCGAAAATCGTCAATAAAATGACTCATTATTGCCCTCGAAAATCTTGACCTTGGACTGTCATAAGTGGTTGCCCGCGACCATACTGATGCCGAGGCCCTTTCCCCAACTCCTTTCCAAATTATTGTAATATCCATAAAGTAATGGGCCACCACTTATTTGATATATATATATATATATATATACACACACACACACACACACACATATCTATAGTTTTCAAATTAAACATGTGGGCCATATTCATTAAATCCCCCATGTTCCTTGTTTACGTAACTTCTTCAAAAGTGCACCAAAATTTTTCAAAGTGGTGGACCCCATTATCCATTTAACTATGTTTTTGTTGACTTTTTCATCCAAAATAACATTTTCCTCATGACAATTTGTTTTTTCCCATACGCCTTGTCCGTGTCTTTATGCTTGGACAATTGAAGACGCCGCCAGTCCTCAGTATTTAATGCCTACTGTGTAGTCGTTTGGGAGTGGAGAAATAGACTCTTCGGGCTGACGCATTGACAAAACAGGTTGACGAGGTAGAGTGTTGCTAGGGCAGGCGTTTGACTTGGGAATGACTGGACTGCTCTGCATCAAATGCTAACCAAAGAGGAAAGGTGACTGCTGGTCATTACACGGCTGCTAATGTGACTGGTCACTGCGATTGCTTATCTCGGACTCAACAACTGTCCAGAACACTTTGGATCGCTTGCTTATCTCGCAACTCAACAGCTATCCAGAACACTTTGGATACTACACCTTCTTAGTTTTTTTTTCTATAAATTGAAGACTTCTGCATTCATTTGTAATTTTTTCTTACCGAACCTTGGCACCTACTCTTCCCAATATATGTTTCCTAGTTTCCTCTTCCTAGTATATGTTTCTCTCTACTCTGCCTCTTCCTTTTTTTTTTTTTAGCCCCATACATATTTATATATATATATATCTTTATAGCTTTTTTTTTCTTGAACCATATTCCATTCCCCACACCACTCATATATTTTTTCTTTTCACATGGTTGATCATCGTCATATTTGTGCGGGTTCAGTACCTCCGTCTGAGGAGTGGTATCGGGCCCCTTTTCTCGGTGGTGATGTTGATCGATTTTTCGAGTACCTCCGTAGCTATGTGCCTGAGGGGAAGGAGCTGACTCATCCATTATTTTTAGATCCTCCTGCACCTTCATCTTTTGGTGTTGGAGGTAATACTGGCAGGAACAAATGTACTTACACATCTTGGGTGAGGTTCTTTTTTAGGGACATTGAGCCTGCGAAGAGCAAAGGTTACGAGCGTGTTGGCCAAGATGGCCCTGGATCCTGGAGTGAGCATGTCTTGGCTCCTTTATCGCAATGTGGTTAACGCGATACGTTACACTGGAGCCCCTTTCTGATGGTATCAGTACTAGCGTTTTTCCTTTGGCTGCAATGTTGGCTCGCGGCTGTGTCGTCCCTTTGGCTCCCTTATTTCTCGAGAACCTATACCTTTGCCTTGATGAAGTGCAGGAGGTGACCTCTATTTTGATGGGGCGTTACGACATTAGTAGTTACGTCTCTACCTTTTTTTTACAGCTCTTCCTACTTGAACGTTTTCCGGCATCCGCCCCTAAGGCCAAACGTCCTATTGATGGCAGCCCTTTTCCTTGGGGACTGCAGTGGTCTGAATGCCCCATATGTAGGTCGGTAGGGCCCCTTCTCGATGATGAGTCACATTTTGTCTTCTGCGCTTACGCAGTTTATCACCCAATGGTCGAGTCACCTTCCTATTACCGCGTCGAGCCTATAACTATTACTGCTGATACCATTGAGACCGTGGCCGACTGCTATTTTGATTTAATTGCTTGCTCCACCAAGGGATACCTTCCCTTTGCTGGAGACCGGGGCACCGGGCTTGTGGCTTATAACTCACATCGGGTGGTTCTACAGTTCGGGTTTGACCAACGCATTCCCTCTGTTCTAAGGGATGCCAT